TGTACGATTGCAGTAACTAGTGACATGGTCCTCAGACATATAGAGAAACTAAAGCCTAACAAATCCTCAGGCCCTGGTGAACTGTTTGCAAGGGTGTTAAAGGAATGTAGAGGAACTTAGCATACCTTTGGCTAATCTTTTTAACATATCACTACAAACTGGCATAGTGCCAAAGAGGCGTTCCTGTTTTACGAATTTACTAACTTTTTTCACTAAGGTGTTTGAGGAGGTAGATCATGGTAATGGATATGATACTGTGTATATGGACTTCAGTAAGGCTTTCGATAGAGTTCCACACCAGAGGCTATTGAGGAAAATTAAGGCACACGGAATAGGAGGAGTAATTTTTTCCTGGGTAGAGGCATGGCTGACAAATAGACAGCAGAGAGTTTGCATAAATGGGGAGAAATCAGAATGGGGTCACGTCACAAGCGGTGTTCCTCAGGGGTCAGTGTTGGGCCCGTTGTTGTTCACAATTTACATAAACGACATAGATGAGGGAATAAATAGCGACATAAGCAAATTTGCTGATGACACCAAAATAGGCCGTCCAATTCATTCTAATGAGGACACTAGAGCACTCCAGGATGATTTGAATAGACTGATGCAATGGTCGGAGAAGTGGCAGATGCAGTTTAATATTGACAAATGCAAAGTTCTAAATGTTGGACAGTTAAATAACCATGCCACATATAAACTAAATAATGTAGATCTTAATACTACTGATTGCGAAAAGAATTTAGGAGTTCTGGTTAGCAGTAATCTAAAACCAAGACCACAGTGCATTAGTGTTCGCAATAAAGCTAACAGAATTCTTGGCTTCATATCTAGAAGTATAAATAATAGAAGTCCTCAGGTTGTTCTTCAACTCTATATATCCTTGGTTAGGCCTCATTTAGACTATGCTGCTCAGTTCTGGTCACCGTATTACAGAATGGATATAAATGCTCTGAAAAACGTACAGAGGAGGATGACAAAGATGATCCCATGTATCAGAAATCTTCCCTATGAGGATAGACTGAGGGCCCTGAATCTGCACTCTCTCGAAAGGCGTAGAATTAGGGGGATATGATCGAGGTGTATAAATGGAAAACAGGAATAAATAAAGGGGATTGTAATAATGTTGGTAGAATTACCGACAATATGTTAAGTAAAAGGACACAAGTGCAACTAATGTGACATTTTATTGTGGCAACGTTTTACTCTCCAGGAGCTTTGTCAAGCCGTTACAAACAGTACATGGACACAGAGGGTATATATAGACTCAGAGTGAGGTGCAATACTAGAGGCAGTAGTAGTAGTAGTGACAAAAGTTGTAGTAGTAGTAGTAATACAATATGGTAGAGCAATTAATTCGTACATGAGTAGAAGGATATAAAAGCTATTACTTGGGTAACATAAAAATAGGTTAGACAAATATAGACTGGATAGAGGCAGCCTGTTTCAGTGTTCACTCTCTGTAATGTGCTTTGTGTAGTATAACAGGAGAGACTATGTGATGGCAGGGTTTACTGTTTTCAGGAGGATTCTTGTTAAGACTTCAGAGATGGTGAAGCTGCCGTTGTTTTGTTTAATTGTATTCGAAACAGCGATTAGTGCTGACAAGATGAAATTAAGAAACATGTGCAACATCTGGGTATCTTTATTGTAGACGTTTCGCCATCCAGTGGCTTTATCAATACAAATTCCAGGATTGTAGATGAATGGTTCAGAGAACCGACATGTTGTTGAATTAGACACATGTGCAACTCTTGGGTATCTTTATTGAGGAAACGTTTCGCCACACAGTGGCTTCATCAGTCCATACAAAGGAGAAACTTGCAGTCTTGTGGTCAGTCCGTCAAGATTGATGGACTGACCACATCGACTCAAGGCTGAGGGACTGATTACCTCATTCTCCTCCTGTTCTTTAAGTTTCTCCTTTGTATGGACTGATGAAGCCACTGTGTGGCGAAACGTTTCCTCAATAAAGATACCCAAGAGTTGCACATGTGTCTAATTCAACAACAAATTCCAGGACCTAACTTGAAGATAGTAGAACTATATATAGAAGATGAGGTAATTAGTCCCTCAACCTAGGAGTAGGTGCGAAGAGCACCGTAGTCGTAGAGATACTGAAGCAGAAGCAAGGCGCCTGACGCTTATATACTAACGTCAGGTGGAAATGGGACGGGTAGCAGACGAGGGCATAGTCACTGGTAGGCGGTATTCCCCAGTGGAAGTAGGTCCTACCCATCTCTTTGGGTAGGTCCTACCCATCTCTTTGGGTAGGTCCTACCCATCTCTTTGGGTAGGACCTACTTCCACTGGGGAATCCCGCCTACCAGTGACTTTGCCCTCGTCTGCTACCCGTCCCATTTCCACCTGACGTTAGTATATAAGCGTCAGGCGCCTTGCTTCTGCTTCAGTATCTCTACGACTACGGTGTTTTTCGCACCTACTCCTAGGATGAAGGACTAATTACCTCATCTTCTGTACATAGTTCTACTATATTCATGTGTCTTAATTTCACTCTGAGCCTATATATACTCTCTGTGTCCATGTACTGTTTGTAACGGCTTGACAAAGCTCCTGGAGAGCGAAACGTTGCCACAATAAAATGTCACATTAGTTGCACTTGTGTCCTTTTACTTTACAAATAAAGGGGATGTAAATAACGTGCTGAAAATTTCCAGCCAAGACAGGACTCGCAGCAATGGTTTCAAGTTGGAAAAATTCAGATTCAGGAAGGATATAGGAAAGCACTGGTTTGGTAATAGAGTTGTAGATGAGTGGAACAAACTCCCGAGTACAGTTATTCAGGCTAAAACGTTGTGTAGTTTTAAAAATAGGTTAGATAAATACACGAGTGGGTGTGGGTGGGTGGGAGCTGGACCTGACTAGCTTGTGCTGCTGGGTCTGGTGCCGTGCTTCATCCTTGAGTGGAGGTGACCAGACTGGGGGGTCACTGGGCTAATACGGGGGGGTTCATTGGTCTAATCCGGGGGAGGGGGACATGGAACTGCTCCGCATGGGTCAGTAGGCCTGTTGCAGTGTTCCTTCTATATGTTCTTATGTTCTTATATGTACAGTAAAGGTTCTCTGTACATTCTCTAGATTTGCAATTTCACCTGCTTTGAACGGAGACGGTAAAGTACAGCAATATTCCAGCCTAGAGAGAACAAATGATTTGAAAATGATCATCATTGACTTGGAATCTCCTGTTTTGAACGTTCTCGTTATCCATCCTATCATTTTCTTTGCAGTTGTGATCGTGGCACTGTTGTGATCCTTGAAACTGAGATCTTCAGACATTGTGTTTGCCTGGAGAGTTTTACCTGGAGAGGGTTTCGGGATCAACGCCCCCGCAGCCCGGTCTGAGACCATGCTTCATGGTGAATCAGTGTTTGATCAACCAGGCTGTTACTGCTGGCCACACGCAAGCTGACGTACGAACCACAGCCCGGTTGGTCAGGTACTGACTTTAGGTGCCTGTCCAGTGCCTTCTTGAAGACAGCCAGGGGTCTATTGGCAATTCTCCTTATGTATTCTGGGAGGCAATTGAACAGTCTTGGGCCCCGGACACTTATTGTGTTGTCTCTCTTGTGTGTGATAAAAGGTTTTGAAAACCGACAAGTTGAAGATTGAGACACTTATGCAGCATATGGGAATCTATATTAAGGAAACGTTTCGCCACACAGTGGCTTCATCAGTCCAACACAAAGTAGAAATGGGTAAGGAGAGGAGGAGTTTGAAGTAATCAGTCCCTCAACCTGGAATCGATGTGTTCAGTCCATCACTCTTGTAGGAAGTACAGCATATGGCCGGAGAAGTGACTTATATACTGTAATTAGGTGAGTCGAAGCAGGAGGCGGGGTCATAGTGGAATCATCTTATAGTAGTGGATGGTTCCACTATGACCCCGCCGCCTCCTGCTTCGACTCTCTTAACTACAGTATATAAACCACTTCTCCGGCCCTATGCTGCACTTTCTACGGGACGGATGGACTGAACACATCAATTCCAGGCTGAGCGACTGATTACCTCAAACTCCTCCTCTCCTTACCCATTTCTACTTTGTATTGGACTGATGAAGCCACTGTGTGGCGAAACATTTCCTTAATAAAGATTTCCATATGTTACATAAGTGTCTCAGTCATCTTCAGACATTACCACTCCAGGTCCTCACATTATTTTTTCGCTCTATTGTATGAACAGAGATTGAAGTATGCTTTGTTCTAATTATCTCCTCCAGTTTTCCATAACGGAGTAGTTGAAATTTGTCTTCATTGAACATAATATTATTTTCCGTTGCCCATTGGAAAACTTGGTTTATATTTTCTTGGAGGTTAACCGCGTCCTCTATAATGACAGTCTCATGCAGATCCTAGTATCGTGTGCTAAGGATGACATGGTGCTGTGGACTACATCTCTATGTCTGATATGAGGATGAAGAACAGGATGGGGGCGAGTACTGTGCCTTGTGGAATAGAGCTTTTAACTACGGAGCTTCCAATTTAACTCTGTTTACCACTACTCTGGCATTCACTACTGGTATTCGCCACACTGAAATTATAAAATCTTTCCCTGTAAGTGCAATTGTAAAAGAAAATATTTACTTGTAAAAATTATGTATCTCACTGTCACAGACACCATACTTCTTAATTAGAAGTTCTTAATTATAATTATATCCATTGTCAAAAATGTTATTTGAACTAAAGCTGAGGAACAGATAAATTAGTTGACGCTAAGGTGCGTCATCTGACGAACAGGAACATCAACTGGGTCAAAGATTCATTAGCTGGATCAAACATATATCAATTGGGTCAAAGACACATCAGCTGTGTCAAAGATATATCAGAAATGGCCGACATAAATAAGTAAGACAAAGATACATTAGTTAAGATGAAGATACATTATCTGAGGCGAGGCAAAGATACATCACCCGAGGCGGAGATAAACAACCTGAGGATAAACTGAGTCGTCTCAGACATCAACAAGGGTGCTGAAGCCAGACTTACCGTTAAGAGCAATGCAGTTAGAGAGTTTAGGACTCCAGGATCCCAGCTGACCATAGCAAGTGATGTAGGCATATGGAAAATGAACTGAGTTGTACATGAAGTATCCGGGGTAGCACCTGCAACATACAATATACATATATATATTATATATATATATATATATATATATATATATATATATATATATATATATATATATATAATTTTTTTATTAACACATCGGCCGTCTCCCACCCGTAAAAGAAGAGACACTTTCATCATAATTCACTCCATCACTGTCTTAACAGAGGCGCGCCTTCACTACAGTTAAAAAACTGCAACATATCAACACCCGTCCTTCAGGCTGCAAGCACTGTACTTCCCACCTTCCCAGCACAACATTGGTTCGAGTCCTTGGCTAGTGCACTGTTATATATATATATATATATATATATATATATATATATATATACACTAAAATTATGAACAAAAAATAACAGATGCAAAAGAACCCAAGGGGGAGTTGAATGATACCTCTAGGTCTTTCATGTTGCACTCAACACATCCTGAGCTTGCCATGTTTCAGAAATGAGTAGAGGCCCCAGCAGATTCGTTCGGTGAAACATTCATGCCAAGAATGAGAAAGGGAAGCAGGAGATTCTTAGTATCCTAGGCATAATAGTGCCAGGTGCCAGCATGACTAAGTATTACTGGAATAGGAGATAGGCCAGGAGCTCTGGTAATGGACTGATTACCTATTGAATTTAACTTAGTAACATAAAATTTAAAAAAAAAATTTTCGGTTAATTTCGGACGATTTTAAAGATTTACATTCTGAAACTGGCATTTGCTTGGAAAAATTTCATGAAAAAGAAAGGGGGGTCTCGCAACACCCTTTAAAAACAAAAGGGAGACACATATTTTTTCCAAGAGTCCTACCAACCTTTGGGCAGATGGGTCTAACCCAAGATGGCGGGAGACAGCAAAAATTTCCTTGGAGGGGGAACCTGACATTTAAGTAATCCAAAGGCATCCAAATCACCATTTTTGTTACCACAAACCCTTTTTTATTAAACAATGAAAAAATAACTGCAATTACCCTTACATAATGAATGTTTATCTGTTTTATAATTGCCGATTTTTAAATATTTCTTTCTAGCCAAAGTATGAACAGGACTTTGGTTTTACAATTTTTTGGCGGGATTTGCAGTTTGTGTAGACTGATTACGCATTTGATTCTTGAACGTTTTTGTTAAACTGATGTTTTTTTATTCTAACATCTGAATTTCCCTGTTCCAACATAAGATAAGTTCCCAGCCATGCCCCAACCTAAAAAATCCCCAAACACAGGTGGCGGGGAACTCTTATCAATATACCTTAACGATCATTGAATTCTTAAAAAAAAACTTGAATTTTGAATCACTTTGGGGATTGGGTAGGACGATAAATTCTCATTGTTAAGGCAGGACAAAACTTTCTTGGTCAAGGATTTTTCAAGGGTTTCTTTCTATGATTTTTTTTTTTTCCCTAGTTTGCCAGCAAAGCATTTCTAAAACCCTTAGAGCAATTTAATTTTTTTAAGCAACATCAAATTTTCCCAAATTTTTCCTCACAAAAACTCAAGGCTGCACAGTCAGTGAGCCTCAAAAACAATTGGGCCAACTACACAGCATATACACAATTATTATAAACCTCTTTGATTTTCTTTGATTTTTCTTACAGTTTTTGTTCTTTTTTTTTTTTTCCTTTCATCTCTATGGGGAAAATTGAAAAAAAAAAATTTCCCTCCGCAAGCCAGATTTTTGAAAAAAGCCAACAAAAATACCGGGAGCTAGGGGTTAAAACCCCCTTTTTCCCGTACAGCTTACTAATAAATCAAGAAGAGAACCTTTTTGTTGGTATGTTTAAAATGCCGAGTGAAAAATGAAAGAAAGGGAATTTTGTGGTGATTTTTATATTTTTAAAATTTAAAATCAGCATTTTTTTATAAAACTTGATCTTTTTCCCCTCTAAACCATGGCTTGCCTGGTACAATTTCTCAACCTTATGACAATAAATTGGATGGTTAAAATTTTTCACTTAATAAACAAGCATTAAACTTTGTACGTTTTAATGTATATTTGTGTCTCGTACGCAGCGCGTAGCCCTTTTGTGTTGGGGATTTACCATTTAGTTTTGATTATAAAAATTGTTGTTGTAATCTACCAAGACTTTCCTCATTTGATTTAAAAAACTTTATTACTTTTTTACGGGAAATTTTTTATGGCACAGTCATCACATTTTTGGAAAAGGGAATTTTTAAAAAATGTTTTTATTGTTTTCAAGAATTTTAAATGCAACGTTGCTTTTAAAATTAAAATTTGTATTTAAAATGTTAACTTAAGAAACTTTGTGAATTCGTTTTTATAATATATTTTGTATTTCTGCATTTTCGGGCTTGTGCCCTATTCCCAAAATACCCCGGGGTGTATTTTGGGATATCTATTTGAATGGAGTGCAAGGGGGGCGACAACCACTTGGAATGCCAAAAGTGTATTTTAAGCGAATTATTGGTTACAGATCTTAAAGGGGTCGGGGGCCTGATGAAAAATTTTTTCCTTCCCCCCGTTCGACCCCCAGATGGCTCAAAACAAACCCTTCTTTCACCCCACAAAGAACAAACCTTAGAAACAGCAAAGTAAAAAAACCCTAAAGATGTTAATAGGGAAAAAATCAAGAACACAGTGAAACGAGGCAGTTTCTCCAAAAGGGGAAACAGGGCACGAATAGCGAAAACCTAAACCAGAACAGAACACAAGAAGAACATCACGTGTAAATGGGGGAGACAAACAAACTTCGGAAGTTCCACTTTCGGTCATGTTAAGGTGGGCTCGGGCGGGTCCGCCAACATCTGCACAAAAGTTAAATGAGCGGGTTTGATTGCGTGTGTGTGTAGTGAGACGAGAGTGAGAAAAAAAGAATAAAAAATGAGAAGAAAAAAGGGGAGAAAAAAGGGACAGGATCAGAGTGATAGCAATAAGTGGATAGGCAAAAAATAAATGAAAACGCAACACATACCCGGAGCTAGGAATCGGCCCAGGAAAACCAAATTAAGTGATACACACCATATATATATGCCATACACACACACAACACCCCCCACACATATAATCAAAAACACACAACATATATCACAAACAACACACCCCAACAACACACAATGCACAAAAAACCACATAAGCACAAACCCATACACACTTTTCTATATATATTTTATAAATAAAAATAAAATTTTATAATAATATAAAATATATTTTATATATATATAATCAAAAAACAACCTGCCTAGCCAAAGGACTCAAACCCATTTGACGACCGCCTCATGTGAGCCAGAACCATACGACCCTTAGCCCACAGGACCACCCAATCCTAAAAAAGATACGCAGCCACAGAGCAGCTGTTTGACCGCCACCCGAGACATTGGGTGTTGGGGGAGCTTCTGGGCTAATTTCTTTTTTCATCCCTGTTTGGTGACTATCCACAGCACTACATAATTATTTGACCCAACAGGGGTTTTGATAAATAACAACACTACGCACCCAAGGGACTCGAACGGTCTGGTGGGAAATTTGGTGGTCCTGTGGTCTAAGGCGTCATGTGGTTCTGCTCACCATGAGGGGGATCAGTACAGCAGGGGTTCCAGTCCTTGGCTATGCAGTGTTGTTAGTGATCAATACCCCTTCTGCACAAAAATATAAAATTATTTTAAAATTTAATATATATAAAAAAATATATATATATATAAAAATAATATATATATTTATATATATATATTATATATATAAATGTCCGGGCCCTAAGCGAAACAAAGCTAAAGGGGGGTCGGGATTTTCGGGGGGAAAAAAAGGGGGATTAAATCGGAGTATCTGAAAAGAGTTAGAGAAAAGGAAGGGGGTAGCAGTAGTGTTGAAGGATCAGTTAGGAAAGGGAAAACGAGAATAAAATGTGTAAATTTAAAGAATTTGGGATTAAAGAAAGGTTGGATGGAAAGTGGGTCTAAAAAGTGTGTATGCACCGGAAAAAAGAGGAATGTAGAGGAGAGAGAGAGTTTTGGGGGAGATTTTTTATAAATTTAAGGAAAGCCTTTGAACCATGGAGAGAAAAAGTGGGGGGGACCTGAAGCTAAAGTGGGAGAAACTTTAGAGGGGGTGTGGTAGGTAATTGGGGGGCCAGGGTAAAAGATAATGGGAGCCCTTTTTGAATTTTTGTATAGAAAGGGGTTTAGTTATGGGTAAACATATTTTAAAAAAAGAGGAAAAATTTAAGTATACAAGATATATTAGGGCGAAATGACGATTTGTTGGATTATGTTTTGGTAATAAAAATGTTGAGTAGACTTCAGAGTACAGTTTAGAGGGGCCCAGAATATCAGATCATTTTCTAGTTGTAGCAAACACTGAATAAAAGGAAGGGAAATACAAGGAGAATAAAGAAAATCGGGGAAGAGAGAGGTGAAGGTTTAAAAAAACTAAAAGAGAGGCAGTTAGGGTAAGATATAACGCATTGGGGGATAAGGGCTAAGAGAGCATACAATGGGGTCGAAGAGGTAGGGGGTAGGTTAAAAATGTATGTTAGAGTGTTCAGCAGAAGTTTGTGGTTACAGGAAAGGGGTCGGGAGGGAAGAGGGGCGTTTGGGGGGAATGATGATGTAAAGAGAGTATGGGGGAGAAAATTAGCATTAAAATTTTTTACAAAGTAGAACGATGCAAAGAGGGAAGAGTATATGGAGAAAAAGAGAGAGGTTAAGAAGGGTGAAGCAATGAAAAAGAAGAAAAATGAAGAGGGGGGTGAGAGTTATCAACAAATTTTGTTGAAAATAAAAAAATTTTTGGGAGTGAGATAACAATTTTAAGGAACCCAGAGAACAAAGGATTTGCAGTTAAAAAAGGAGAGGAGAGTTATTAAATGGAAGTTAAGGACGGGAAGATGGGGGGAATTTTTTGAGGAATTGTTAAATATTGATGAAGAAAAAGGGAAGTGTGATTTCGTGATAGGGCAAGGGGAATAACATCTTAGGAGGGGGGAAGAGAAATTTGGGGTGGGGGGGAAGTTCGTAGGCAGTAGGTAAAAAAAGGGGGGAAAGGGCCCCGGGGATTGA